TGATAAGCCAATACATTCTCAACACCCATAACGATAGGATGATGATGATGATGATGATAATAATAATATACCAAGTCCTTGGGAAGGACTTGATAGGTAGATAAAATGCCAAATCCAGTCTAAACAACTGGCTGACTGAGCGACCAACAATATTTATTATTACTATTTGTAGTACTATTAGTTAAAGTACTATTTATTACATTATTTTCATATAATAAATGTTGGGGGGGTCAATGAACAATCTGAAACTTCATGAGGGGTCGATGAGCTGAAGAGTTTAAGGACCTCTGGTTCAAGGGGACACAGAAAGAACCTTGGAGAAGCTTTCAAAATTCTGTTATTGTGGAAAGATGACCTTGACGGAGATATGCAAGAACTGTTACTTAAGCAAAAGGGGATGAAACATTTTTTAAGTCCACAGCAGCGAGATAACATTTGGAAGTGGCTCAGGCAGACGACACCCTGATTCGCTGAACTGTAAGAAGGAGGAAGAACAGCACAGTCAGACTCACAAGATTCTGTTATTCTAGCCAATTTCAATAAAGGTAGTTTTAGACTTCCTGTGGGGCTGATTTCCTAGTAGGGATGACAATGATGATGTTCTACTTAAGAAAGCTGCATTCCTGGAATTTTTGCGGTGTGTCTCTCTTGACCTGGTTAACTTCGAAGGACTGACATCAGTCCTGAAATTGCAGCTTGGAATTGCAGCAAAGTGAAGGCTGTATGTTCTCCTGGCAGGAAGGAATTTGATCAGGTGGGGGGTATTGCAGACCAGGCCTGTCATTCTGGTCTCAGAAATGTGTGTGATTCATCCCGAGGAGTGTGAAAGAATAGTTTCCTGCTCCAACCCCTGAGCCCTTAATAAGTTGATATAGCCGGGGCACACATTTATTTATTTTTTTTCCGCATTGTATTTCTACAGCACATGGTTCTGGCAAAGCCAGCCTGTGGGGATTAACTCAGTCCTCCCTTTGTGAGAATTTCTACTATGAATGAGAAACTGAGAAGGCTGAAAGCAGGGGAGAACTGCTGGATTTGGAGCTGGCTTCTGACTTTTCCTCGCCCTTGTCTGCAAAAAGTGGTTATGAACAGTCTTACTAGCAAGGTTATGGCTTCTCTTCAGCTGGGATTCCACATTGCTTGGGTAAAAGTGTAGACCAGTGTTTCTCAACTTTGGCATCTTGAAGATTGCTCATAAATGTTGTAAAACCAGGTCCAGTCGCATGATGATTCACTTAATGACCGCATCGCTTAGCGACCTAAATTCTGGTCCCAATTGTGGTTGTTAAGCGAGGACTACATGTACTTCTGGTGCCATCTGGTATCCCTAGGTCCTTAGTCCTTGATTTCTCCTGTTCTCTAGACCAGTGTTTCTCAACCTTGGCTGCTTGAAGATGCGTGGACTTCAACTCCCAGAATTCCCCAGTCAACATGGCTAGCTAGGGAATTCTGGGAGTTGAAGTTCACACATCTTCAAGCGGCCAAGGTTGAGAAACACTGGTCTAGACCCTACCAGGCATCTGGATCACATCATTCTGTTGCCCACCACCATTGCCGTTCTTTCTCTACCAAGCGTTTTGTGAAGCATAATTTAGAGATAATGTGGGGAAAGCTCCATTTGCATGTGAAATATCTGCCCCCTGCCCCATTTAGTTAACACAAAATGAACACAGTTTGCCACCATACCTGGATATTTATGAATGCACGTATCCACACCATTAACAAGCCATTACTAAGGCCATTAAAAAGATTCAGAAGGCCATTTGATGCTCACTTTTCTGTAATCACAGATTGCATTCAGGTTTCTGCGGCTGCAAAACAGCCACAGGAGATTGGAAAGTATTTCAGCAGTTTCAAACAGCGTACAAAAGAGTTGTTTTCCAATTGTTCCATTATCTGGAGATCGTTAAACATGCTTGCACTGAACAAGAGGAGTTTTCTTAAGTTACAAAATCACCACCATCCATATTAGTAATAACATTGCTTTTAAAAAAAGATCAAGAAGGATTTTGCAGAGTTGGAGCAAGACACTCTTTGGAAGAACCTGGGTAAAACTAAAAGTTATATAGGTAATATATTACATAGCATGCAGTATGTCCTATCATATTTTTACAGCATTAAAAACAATGGAATACAGCTAACCAAGCTGGAATATTTTACTCCTGTCTCTATACCTGAACAGACGTAAAAGAAAATGTTGAGAACACCCCCTTCCAACACATTTGTAAGGAAGCGTCCTCACAAATCGATTTTGAAAGTTTTCCTTCTTATTTAGACTGCTTTTTGTACATTTTTCCAATACCAGTACACTCCAGGATATAAGAAACATAACCCGTAAGGAATCTTAATAATTAACAACTACAAATTCTGATATCTCAATGCTCATTCCCCTTCCAGCAATTAAACATTACCCCAGAATTAAATCTCTGCAGTCAACAATTCCCCGCAGATAGACAAGTTGCAGTAATGTATAAACTTTTGTGCTAGGCTGAAATAAACCAACTGCTTTGGTCCCTAAAGAGACAGGCCCACAGCATGAAAAAGACCACAGTGGACAAACTTGGCCTCTTTTACAAAACCAAAGCAAAAATTAAACATCCTACTAAACATTATTGCCCACAATCTATGGCTCGCTTACAACTAAGCTACGAAAGACGTGCCAGCTGATATCCTAATTTTAATAAACTGGTAGATCCAGAAATATATGTATGTTTCCTTTAGCAGAGGTTTTTATGGGCAGGTAATTGCCTTTACGTTCTTCCTCCGCAATCCTTTAACAGCGCATGGGCAAGAACACCAATGTTGCATGCACAGACCTTCCAAAGAGACTGAGCTAACCAGTCATAATTCCTGAATCTAGACGAGCAATGCCCTTTGCTCTTATCAAATCCTTTTTTTCCTAAACCAAGAAATCTATAGTGATAAGCATAGGATAGGATCTCAGTGAAACACATCCTTTACTCAGACAAAATAATTGATACCATACCTGAATTCTAAGCCACGAAAAGCTGCAGCAATCATATTTGTTCTCTTCCTCCCACAAGTATATGAAGATTGTCATGAATTTGTCCAGAAGATTTTATAATCCTCCTATACAATTATTCTCCTTCCTTCCTTCCTTCCTTCCTTCCTTCCTTCCTTC